TCTCTCTCTCTGCTACAGCGTGCTAAAAAGCTGAGTCACCAAAATTTCAAAAACGAAGTGCCAGCACTACTAGGCAATGCAAATCTGCATGATATGTTCTTTGGTAATTTGTAACTAATAAAAAAAGAAAAGATTGAAATGGCTCTAAATCAAGCACGGACTTCTAACCCTCCTGAATAACAGTGGTGAGGGAGCTGACGAGAGAACAGGTGATTATAAGAATCACTACAAAAGGCAGTACAGGCCTAACGGGCCCTGTGAGGAAAAAAAGAAGGGGCCGGAACAGCGGCCCAGTAGCTAAGGTATTACCCGGGGGAACTGCAAAATTCGTGCATGAAATAGGAAAGTGCAGTAGTTGGGCGGTAATCGCCCAAGGTCTGTGGTGATAATGAAAGAAAGAAAATAAAAGGGTCAGACTGTTGTGATGAACACTGCAAAATTTCGCAACTTTTCTAACAAATAAACAACAATAAGCTAGTGATTTTGAGAAAAACAACGAGCTACAAACAATACATTAAAGTAGAAGATCGTGTTGCGACAAACACGTTACCACTATCCACAAGAAGATGCAAAAAGCTTATTAAAATACCGCGTTACGATTTGATTTTTTGCTCTCAGAGAACTCAAAAAAAAAAAAAAAATCTCGTTTGAGCAAGGCACGCTAGACTTCCCAGCTAGACAAAACTCAAAATCGAAGAAAAAAGCCATCCTGAGAAAACAGATGGGCTGGTGCAGCAACTGAAGAATTATGAGGGAAGAGAATTACACGAAAAGAGATACTCCAGGGTGAAAATAATGATAATAAGAATAAACCAATAATAATGATAAATAATAAGAAATAATAATAACTGGTCAAAACTTGGCTGGCAAAAAACCGGCATGTGGACAAAAATAAGGAAACCATCGGTTTAAAATCTGCACCCGCTTTTTTTAAGAAAAATAAAAAGGCAAATATCTCAAAAACACAGGGCCGGTCAGTCAAGGGTGAAAATGTGCGTACCTGGAAAGCATCCACATTTGCGACTTCTATTTCCATGTACAGCCTAGAATGAAGTGACCCTTGCGACTGCATAAATTGTACGATATAGGATCGTTGGCCTTCGTACGGAGTGATGATGCCGATCTGTTCAGGTTTAAGTCCCGCCTTCAAGAAACGCGTTGCTATTTTCTCAACACTTGCTGCCTCAGCTCTGCAAAAATCGAGAAAAAAAATAACATTGTTCTAAAACTAACTAAGTGAAATAGAAAAAAAAAAATCCAATAACAAAATCAAACAGGCCAGTTTTTATTTCATTCTTTTAAAAAGGATTCGGAAATAACAGGAAGGAAACTGACCGATTTAAATAGGATGTGCCTGAGGAACTGAGTTCCTCTTGTCCACAGCAGCTCCAAAACATCATTGGCTTATCCGGTACTGGCCAACGCCAACTGATTCCGGTCAACTGCCGCTCACCTGCAAATCTCATGCTAGTTCGCAAAAAAAAAAAAGATCGTCCTTTTACGTCTAATTCGTAAAAAAGAGCATACAGCAGACATTCCTTATCGAAATCTTCGAATTTTCACTTGAAACATTTTTAAAGATAACTGAAAATCACAGCTATTCCCAGAGCAGCATTTAAATTTATGCAAATATTAAAAATGTATTGCGGCGATACCACATTTAGGTGTGTCTGCCTAGTTTGTACATCTACTGGGATAATTCGCTGCCAGAATTGCGAGGAGTAAAACCAGATTTTCAGAAGCGTAGTCCCCGGCCTAAAACTTAAAAAAAAAAACCATCTTCCTCTGCTTACACCTCACAGATTCACATGCGATATTCGGAATTTCATGGCAGGGAAGTTTTAAGATGCACAGATGCGAACTAACATTTTAATAAATAATTTATCGCTTTTACAAAAGTTCCTAATCTGAGCACATTTTGACATAATCCTCAGTAAGTCTTCTTGGTAATCTTTGTGAAAAATGCATGCTTGATTTCTTCACAAAATTTACAATGCAAGTAATAAAGAAATGTGATCGGTATTTCTAAAAATTACCTTCCGTGACGCCGTTTTGTAAACTGCCCTCGTAGAAAACATTGCTTGGGAACGATGAAAGCGCAGGGTGCATGCGATATTGCACTTGCAAACGAATTGGACGATTGCCAAGCAGAACAAGACGCTCGAAGAGTGACTGCGACAAGCCAGCTTTCGCCGCCTTAAAAAAAAATGCTTCAGAAACATATGTTAGGAAAAAGTAAAATGAAAGAGGGCGAAGCAATGGAATTACATAAGGAAAATAAAAAAAAAAATGCAAAAATAACCTTTTTGCACATGACCACTGGGCCCAGTTGGCAGTGATCACCGACTAGTACCAACTGTCGAGCACCGCTTACAACAGGTACCATCACTTCCGGCTCAGTTGCCTGGGTTGATTCATCGATCAAAACACATCTTCAATGGGGATAATTTCAATCTTATAATTAAAAGTTGATAGTAGTTGAAGAGAAAATAATGTAAAGAAAGAAAGAGAAAGGAAAAAAGAAGGGAAAAACGGGGAAGAATTATAATTTTTAAACTTTCTGAAAAACATTTTTATAAAGAAACTTTTTTAAAAATTGGTAAGAAATGTTTTGGTCCATTAAGGAGTATAAATTTCTTGTTTTGGTTATAAATTTGCACCTTTCTCATCTAACAGGCTGACCACCAAAATGGACATTAATCAGAAGAACTATTCAACATCATCTAATGTTAAATACACTGAAGGGAGGTTCGCCAGTTTGATCAGAAGACCCAATCATGCGCTCACAGGTACCACGAGATACGGCAAGCTTGGAAGGGTTGCTAGCTGCGTAAATATCACCACCTTGCAGAGGATCTCAGTTAATTAACAGAAGCTATTTGAACTGCCAAGAATTTTGCCATAAATCTAAAATTTTAAAAACAATTGACTTTCGCAGCACTTACTTAATTGTCATATGGGCTAATCGACGATCGCCAGCCGTAACACATGTACAGCATATTACATCTGCCATACTCAACAACTGATGCTCTTTGGCCATTCGCAGCGACCGAAAACGACGCTCATCAGCATCGGCCAGTTCACCAATTTCCTCCTAAAGAAATCTAGAAAGTAAAGGAAGAGCAGTTACTCCCAGAAAAAAGAAGCTATTCGCACTGAATCATCATCAAACAACAGCGTTTCATTGTTTATGGTGAGAAATGCAAGAACTAAATCCAGAATCACCTTAAGCTGTTGTAATTTATGCAATTCGGCTGCACCTTGCAGAGCTTTTAACTGATTGTGCAAAGCAAGGAAAGCAACAGAGCTCTCCAGTGTCTCGCGACTCTTCGCACACAATCGAACAACCTGAAAAACGGTGAAATCATGAAAGTCGCAGTGACTCCCCCTCTCC